CTGAACCACCGTGGCTGTCCTTGGCCAAGAAGAAAGCCAAAGCATGGAGTGAAATGCCCCAGATTGTACAATAGCAAATGACTGAGCACCCCTCTTTGTATTGCCAAGAGCTGCGTTAACTCCATTTAATTGCTTCTTTACTGTGACGATTTTTCTTAAGAAATAAGAGCCTTAAGACTTTTGAGCAGACTGTTGTATTTAAATACACAGTGAAGAAATGCCACTGCAGGCTTTAATTTGAAGTGTTAGGACACTGAGCATTTTCTGCTACCAAATACTAGGAAAACTTGACCAATTTGTTAAATCCTTTCACTTTTGACAGTGATGTTCTAAGAAGACCTGCTTCAGGCTTTTGAAACATTTCCCTTACAAAATAAGTTTTTTAAGTTTCCAATGACCATACAGTATTTTGTGCAATGTGGCTTTGGCTAAGAAATTAGTGTGTGCTATAAAGTAGATGTAATGCTGGATGCTGACACATCATGACTCATGGGCATTGATGTCATTGCACTTCTTTATCTAATGCTTTGGGATGAGCAGTCTGACTTTGCTTCTGATTGTTAATGGATCTATTTTGTGATAGCTATATGATCTAAACAGCATTGTGACTTGGAGTAGTTCTGATTTTTGGGTGGTTTGAAGTCACAACACTGTGCATCTTCTGCTTTGCTCCTTGATGGCTGCTGGAATGGCCCAGAGCCACGTACCTTCTGTTCTCTCCCATGCATTGAAAACCAACACGTTCTTGCATATAATCTACTTTTGGTTACACCTTTAGAAGTTGGGCATTCTACCAAAGAAGAAAAGTACTTTCTTTAGTTATGGCAAATAGTGACTTATTTTTTGAGATTCCTCAGCCAACTGTTGCTCTTTAAAAGTGTGTTGGGGATGGGAGCTATTTGCTACCTGGAACATGGCACCTTGTTTTCAACAAATTCCACTCCATGTTCATGTGGATGTGTATTTAGTCAGGTGTGTTTAATATGAATGATAAAAGGGGCATCTGCTTTCCTCCTTGCCTCATTAGTCTTTATCCAGTAACTCAACATCAGTCTAAGAATGTGTGGCTGGGAAGGGATTATTCTCTCAGGGCCTGGCCTTGCAGTCACTTAAATTGACAGAAGTTTTGCTATTGACTTTGAAGGAATAAGACATTTGAAAAAGAAGCTTTGTAAAAGGATGCCAGTGGCTTAAGTGACAGTGGCACTTACCAGTCATTTTCAGTTTTTGCAGCATTGCACGTTTATATGGGTTTTGTTTACAGTCAGTGCAAAATTTGAAGGCTGACTTGGCTGATGGACAGTTGGTAGGTATTTTTAAGGCAAATATTGTCTATTGACAGGATTAACTGCAAAACAAAGAATTTGGTTTCAAATCAGCTGAAACAAGACAGTTTTGGCCTGAGTTTAATATGTAGCTCTTGCAATTTGAAAACAGTATTAATTAGGAGCTAGACTGTGATTATTTTTTTTAAATCTAGGTGAAAACTTACCCAAGTAGACTCTCTGAAGCTATAGATACTGTTTATTTTGTACTAACATCAGAAAGTGTAAGTTTTACAATGGCTTGGTAATCCATGCCTATTTTACTACTTGCTTTTCTCTGTTTTAGAAAGCATATCTTCTCTGACAAAGAACTGAAATGTTTGTATTTCTCTGAAACTTAGTGTAAATGACACACCTGGCTTTGATTCCTGAAATTCTGCTGTCCCAGCACAGGCTAACTGACCCTGTGTAAAACACGTGCATTTCTATATTCAGCAAACTCTCTTCTCTTTTTATTTGTGTGGGTTGTGGTCCTTCACCCAAAGAACTGCAAATGATGCTATAATCTCTCTTTCTCTGTGCTTGCTTTTCATCTTAATATTGTTTCGGTCTTTTATGTTTGGTATGTATATATGTTTTTGTAATCCTTGTCTTGAATTGAATTGTCCTTTTGTATTCCATACCTGTATTTGTTTTATGATTAAATGCTGTTGCCAGTGATGATGATACAATTCCTGGGAAGAGTGGTAGATGCCCCTCATTCATTAAGGAAAAAAAAAAAAAGAGGTCTTTGGTCCATACAGGTTTTATATATGGGTATACTACATAGGTCTTCTTTTGGATGATTTTTGGTGACCTAGGACTCATCAACACAGCTGATCAGACTAAACAACTTTTCTAAATGTAGCTATTTAAAAGTTTAAATCTTCACCAGAGAGCTGATGGCTTTGGGAGTTGCTGCAGTGCAGGGCTGCCTTGGAGGCCAACATTTGTGTTTGCACGAAGCCTTGTAAATACTTGTTTGAATGTGCTTTGGTATTGCTGGCCAGTGGCTGTAAGATGTTTTGGAGTGCTTGAAAAAGATGATTCTCATGTGTTGTTCTTGTTAGCTCCCCAAATGCAGAGAAAGAGACTATGTTTAGGAAGGAAACTTGTTATTTATTTCAAGTTTGTGCAGAGCTGGGTGCTCAGTGGTTTCCCACAAATCAAGCACACCAGATGAGATTTTCCATTCCCTCTATATACACAAAACTGTAAAGTTAGGAAGCTTCCAAGTCCATCCTCTTTACAACGATTGGTTAGCAATTGACATACAGATATTATATGGTTTCCTCACTATTTCTAATATCACGCATGCTCAGGGGAGGGGTTTTCCCCTGGACAGGGGTCTTTTTGATTTGAGGTGTGTGATTTTTAGTATTATAATGAGCTAAATTTGCCTAAAGGACACAACATCACAAGTTCTGTAGCTTTAGCTGCCCAAAACTGGTTCA